GTTGCATTTTGTTCCTTCTCGTCATTTTGTGTAGCACTGTCTTCTGCCCTTTGTTGTAGATCTTTGCTGTAGTTATAACCTTCTCACGTACTGAAGTTCAAGTGGAGTTCTACAGAGTTTGGACTTATTCAACTGCGTCTGGCTCAGGTCTCGCTGCTTTGCTCAGCTCATTCCCTCTGCAGAACTGGGCTAGGATTGGGTCTGGGGGTTCCCGGCACTCGGCAGAAATTCCTTCTCGGTGGGAGGGGTGGCGGAGGTAAGGCGGAGTGGTGGGGGGCGGCCCGAGGGTGTGGGAGAGGGTCCGGCCCACGCTGCGCCTGGACTGGGACTAGTCCCGCCGGCGCAGGATAGCAGGAAGCTCTCCACACACTCACCGGACCTGGGTTAGGACTGGGTCTGGTGGTTTATTTCACTTATGAGTATGGTCTCAAGTTGCATCCATTTACCTGTAAAAATAGCAAGTTTATTCTGCTTTATGGCTGAGTGGTACTCCCTTGTATAAAATACCACATCTTTTTTATCCATTCCTCAGTTGGTGGGCATTTGGCTTATTTCCAAGATCTGGCTATTGGCAGTTGTGCTTCTATAAACATGTGTGCACCTATATTTGCTGTGATATGATGTTTTCAGTTCTTCTGGGAAGATACCCAGAAGGGGCATAGCTGGGTCAAATGGGACTTCCACTCAGTTTTTTGAGGAATCCCCACACTGACTTCCACAGTGGTTGTGTCAGTCTACACTCCCACCAACAGTGGAGAAGAGTTTTTTCCCCCAGCCCCTTCAGCGTTTGTTATTGGTTCATTTTTTGATAATAAACTTTTTTTCTGGGGTGAGATGCAATCTCAGTGTTTTAATTTGCATCTCTTGAATGACTGATGTTGAACACTTAAAAATATATTTGTCATTTATATTTCTTCATCTGAGAAATGGGTATTCATCTCAGATGCTCATTTTTGGATTGGTTCTTTAAATTTAGGAGGTCTGATTTTTGGGAGGTTCTTTATGTTCTTGATGATAGTCCTTTGAGGAACACCTGGAAAACGTTTTTTTCTCATATTGTGGATTGTCCCGTCACTCTGTTGGTTATTTCTTTTGCTGTGCGAAAGCTTTGTATTAAAATGAGATCCCAGTTGTTGATTTTTGTGATAGTTCATGTGTGATCACACTTTTATTCATAGTCTTTATTTATACCAATGTCTTCAAGAGTTTTAACTATTCTACCTTCCAGCAGATTTAATGTTACTGTTTTAATATTTTGATCTTTGTTCTGTTTTGACTTTAGTGCGTGTTGAAAGATTTGGATCTGATTTTAACACTTGGCATGTGCAGAGCCAGTTTTTCAGCACCATTTATTAAAGAGGCTATCTTTCTTCCAGAGAATGTGTTTGGCACTTTTGTCTAAAATAAGGTGCCTCAGTATGTCTGGAGTTTCTGCATCTTCTCATCTGTTTCATCTTCAGATCTTGGGGGTGGGGGTTGCCATTACCACTGCTGTTTTTATCATAGTAACTCTGTAGTATAATTTCATATCAGTGATTTTTTGGTTGTGTTGCCCCTGCCTTGCCTTTGTTACCCAGAATTGCCTTGCTGTTCTAGGTCATTTCTAGTCCAAATGAATTTTAGTATTGTTTTCTCTAATTCTGTAAGATATAGTATTGGAATCTTGATTACAATTGTGTTAAATCTATAGAACAATTTTGGAAGTATGGTCATCTTCACTATATTGATTCTTCCTGCCCAAGAGCAAGGGATCTTTTCATTTTCTGATATCCTTTTCAATCTCTTTTTTCAGAGCACTGTCATTTTCAATGTAGAAGTCTTTTACATCCTGCATTAGATTGATTACTAGACATTTTTTCGGATGTTATTGTGAAAGGTATTGTTTCCCTGAAGTCTCTCTCACTGAATTTGTTTTTTGTTTACAGGAAAGCTATTGATTTTTTAGTGTTGACTTTGTTCATCCAGCTATGCTACTGAATTTGCTTATTAAATCCAGCAGTTTTTTAGTGGAGTTTTGTGAGTCTTCTACGTAGAGTATCATGTCATCTGCCAAATATGATTATTTAAATTCTTTCTTTTCTATTGTTACTCCTTTTATTTCTGTCTCTTATCTAATTGCTCAGGCTAAAGTTTCCAGGACTATATTGAGTAAGAGTGGAGACAGTGGACATCCTTGTCTTTTTCTGATTTTAGTGTAAAATCTTTCAGTTTTTGTCCATTCAGTGTGGTGTTGACTCCTAGTTTGTCATAGATGCCTTTTATCATATTGAGATAAAGATGATCTATTCCAATTTTTTTGTATGATTTTTATCATGAATGGGTGCTGGACTTTGTCAAAAGCTTTTTCTGTATCTGTTGAGATGATTATGGGATCTTTGTCCTTGGCTCTGTTAATATAATATACTACACTTATTGATTTGCATATGTTGAACTAGCCTTCATCCCAGGGATGAATCCCACTTGGCCATGGTGTATAATCTTGATGATTTACTGCATTCTGTTTGCCAGTATCTTAGTTGAAGATTTTTACATCTGTGTTCATTAGGGATATTGGCCTGTAGTTTTTTTTTGGGGGGGGGAAGGGGGTGGGTCCTGTTTTGATTTTGGTGCTTGCATCCAGGAATGGTTTTGGATGTATAGTTTCCTTTTCAGTTTCATTGGAGAGTTTCAGCATTAATGGCATTAGATTTCTAAATTTCTTGTAGAATTTAACAATAAATTCTTCAGAACCTGAGCTTTTCTTTTTTTTTTTTTTTTTGGCTGGCTCAGCCCTGAGGGTGGGGCTGGCACAGCATGTGATGCTGGAGATCTAGTGGTCCCTTGCACCTGCCTAAGCTTGCCTAAGCAGGCGCTTTGGACCGCTGAGCTATCACATCTCACCAGAACCTGGGCTTTTCTTTGTTGGTAAGGTTTTTTTTATTACATTGTTAATTTTATTGACTGATAACAGATGATTTAGAATTATTGTATCTTTTTGTTTCAGTTTTGGCAATTCATATGTGTCTAGAAATCTGTCCATTTCTTCTGTGTTTTGCATTGTATAAGGGTACCAATTCTTTAAGTACATATTGCTGAGCTTCAGGATCCGTTGTTATTTTACCCTTTTTCTTCCTAATTGTGTAAGTTTGAGTCTTTTCCTTTTTTTGTTTTGGTAAGGCTGGCTATGGCTTTATCAATTTCATTTAATATTTCAAAGAACCAACTCTTTAATTCATTGATTCTTTGTATTATTTTCTTTAGTATATCTATTACATTAATTTCTACTGCTTATAATTTCCCCCTTTGTATGGTACTTCCTTTAATTTGTTCTTTTTCTAGAATTTTGAGGTTCAACATTTCTTTAACTTGTTCTGTTTACCTGAGGTGAGAATTCATTGCTATGAATTTCCCTTATAGGACTGCTTTCATTGCATCCATGGGTTCCAGTGTGTTGTATCAACATTATCACATAATTGTAGATACTGTTTGATTAATTTTTTAATATCCTCTATGCCCCATTCATTATTCAGGATGGTGTTATTTAATTTTCATGTGGTTATGTAGTTTTTGTGATTTCTTTTGCCTTTGATTTTCATTTTCATGCTATGGCCAGATAATATGCATAGAATAATTTCAATTCCTTTGCATTTACTTAAGCGTGTCCTATGAGGTAGTATATGGTTTAGTTTGGAGAATGTTCCATTTGCAGCGTAGAAGAATCTGATGTTGTAGGGTGGAACACTCTGTAGACATTTACTAAGTCCATTTGTTCATTGGTTTGGTTTAATTCTGATATTTTTGTTGATATTTTGTCTAGTTGATCTGTCTATTTGTGATAGTAGGTTGTTAAGATCCCCTATTACATATTGTGTTAGTGTTATTTGATTTTTTACGTCCATTCATATGTTTATATAGTTGGGTACACTGGTATTTGTTGCATATATTTTTATGATTGTTTTATCTTCCTCTTAGATTGTTCTCTTTACCAGAATGTAGTGACCTTCTTTGTCTCTCTTAATCTTGACTTGAAATCCACTTTGTCCACAAGTAGAATAGCTACTGTTGCTTTTTCTACATATTCCCTAAACATGGAGTATTGTTTTCTGTCTTTTGACTTTCAGTCTGTGAATCTTTTGGAAGTGTTTCTTTTATGCAGCGTATATTGTTGGATCTTACTTCTTAATCCATTCTGCTGATCTGTTTCTTTTGGTTAATTGAGACCATTAATATTGATGGTTATTGACTTATCTTATTATGTTATTTTCCCTTTTTTTGCTCCCCTCTGTTAATTATTTCCCATGCCTGAAGGATTCTTTCTGTTGGGGTTCATGAA